AGAAGTGGCTTTTCTTTAGGAAATGATCAGTTTCTCTATGACATAAAATTCAAATTCAATATAACCTGGAAATTGGCTTTCTCATGAGGTATTTTTGGGGATAATTTTAGATTCTATAATTACAATTAGTAAGCATCTAGTATCACCTTGTATGCATATGAAAGCTAGACAATGAATAAGGAACGTGAAAAAAATTAATGCATTTGAATTATGATATTGATGAAGAATATTAACTATACCATGGACTACCAGAAAAATGAACAATTCTGTCTTGCAAGAAGTACAGCCAGAATGCTCCTTACAAATAAGGATGGTGAAACTTCATCTTACATACTTTGAATATTGTAATGGTTACATATATGTGTCAACTTGACTGGGCATGGTTGAGTGGCTGGGCAGCTGGATGTAGTATTCCCCATGATGAGACTGGTCATTAACTCCATGGTGGAATCTATTGGAGCAGCTGAGTAGCTGCTTTGGGTATGTGGTTTACCTCCCGTATATAAGCAACAGCTTTGGGAATGGTATCTAGCTTATGGCACGCTTGAACCCTGCATGTAGCTGTGTCATTGTTCAGCAGCCTGCCATGCTCTGCCGACCTTGGGACTTACAATGGACTTGAATTAATGGCCTGCTGTGTGGTTTGGTAGCATTGGGACTGTGCCATTTTATTTGTTGACTTTGGCTTGTTAGCCTCAGTAGCCAGTAGCTGACTGAGTGAAGAGATGCCTCTACCTTCAATGGGCCAGGAGCAAGAGGCAGAGCTGAAGAAGCCCAAGGTTGAGGGGCTTTCACCCAGCCCCTAGAGCCTGGCACTTTGAACTTTGACTTCTCGCTTCCCGAACTGTAAGAGAAATAAACTCCTGTTTGTTAAGGCCATCCCATTTGTGGTATTTTCTGTTAGAGCAGCACAGAGGTAACCAAGACAGTTATGTTCTCAGGAAGGACCAGTACCTGGAAAAGGACATTGTTCTTGGCAAAGTAGAGGGTCAGTGAAAAAGAGGAAGACCCCCCAATAAGATGGATTGACACAGTGGCTGCTACAACATGCTCAGGTATAGCAATGATTGTGAGGATGGCACAGGACTGGGCAGTGTTTTGTTCTGTTGTACATGGAGTCACTGAGAGTCAGAATCAATTCAATGGCACCTAATACCAACAACAACATGAATTGCAACTGACTCGGCAGCACCTAACAACAACAGCAGCAACATGTATCTATCTAGACTGTTTTTTATTTAGTCTCAAGAACCATCATTAGGGCTATGTGGGCTGTTTTGTCTGGCTTCCTTGCTAGTATATGTAGCTGAAGGTCCCTTTCAGAGGGTCATTTACAGCACCTGTGTCTCAGTAAGAGTAGCAAATTTTTCTTTATCCCTTGTCCCTAATCAGATTGCCAACTCAACTCAATCTTTATCTCCAATCTGCTTTCTTCTCCATTGAAGTTTTATTATTTTTCTAACCCAGAGGAGCCAGACTCTTGGATTAAGTATTTCTATAATTCACATATTATAATCTCATCTGCTCATTTCCTTTGGCAGTCATTGTACGTTTGGTAATTCTATTATTATAGATTATTATCTACAAAACTAGTTTTCCACAGGAGTGTCTAGAACCCCTGCTGACCAATCCTTAGAGGTTTTCTCTGAAATATACTTGTGTTGTTGTTTGTTAGTTGCCAGTGAGTTGATTCCACCTCATAGTGACCCTCTGTGTGCAGATTAGAACTGCTGCGTAGGATTTTTAAGGCTTGTGACCTCTTCAAAGTAGATCTCCAGGACTGTCTTCTGGGATGCGTCTCAGTGGATGGAAACTGCCAACATTTCCATTACTAGTGAACATTTAACCATTTGTACCACTCAGGCACTGCATGAAATGTATCTGCACTTAATCAAAAAAGTTTAAAAGAAACAGATGTTTATTTCTTTAGCCAGAAAAATGGAAGTTTCTGTTTTTAATACTATACCATGAATATCTTCAAATTTTAAAGCTGTCAAAGGATGCTTATTTATATATGTGTGCCTATGTATTTTGTTTTACATCTATACATAGACATATCCATACAGACAACATCCACTGTATTTATCTATGTATGAACCCAGAAGACAAGCATGCTATTTGTACAAAATAATCAATATATATATGTACAAACATTTATTTTTGAATAATTGTGCTCTAATACTTTACTTAGGAGCTCTGGTAGCATAGTGCCTAAGGTACTTGACTGCTAACCAGAAGGCTGGCAGTTCAAACCCACCAGCCACTCCTCGGAAGGAAGATGGGGCAATCTACTTCACAGTTATACCGCCTCAGAAACCCAAGGAGGGGTCGCTATGAGTTGGGTCCGACTCGACAGCACATAACAACAACAACAACAACAACAATACTTTACTTACTCTAAACACAGCTGTTTCCCTATCCCTCTCTTTTGGAATTTCTTGCTTCTTGGAGAGTCAAAAAGAAAACAAAAATATTTTAAATGGATTTTATGAAGTCTGGTTTAACAGTACTTTCAAGAATATGAAAGATACAGGAGATGTTAGATATGCTGGAGTAAAACTCTGTTATTCCCTGCAGTGAGTCCCTGGGTGGTGCTGATGGTTAAGGTGGTTAGCTGCTAACCAGAAGGTTGTGGGTTCACGTCCACTCAAAGGTGCCTCAGGGGAAAGGCCTAGCGACCTCCTTCTGAAATTCCCTCTTGAAAATCCTGTTGTGCACAGTTCTACTCTGACACACACAGGGTCGTCATGAGTCAGTGTCAACTCAATTGCAATTGTCTCTGTTTCCTTTTCTGATGATGAAATTGAGGCTGCAAGATTTTGTTAGTAAGGAATTAGGGGCAAAGAAGAAAGTAGAACTAGAACCCTAGTTTCACACACTCTGTCCGATGTAAGTATTGACTGAGACAATTCCTCAAGCCCTCCCTCAGCCCATACTTAACACATGCTTGATTTTCTTGTGCTCTGAGCCCATACCACATTAGAATTAGCATATTGGATGTGAGAGGAAGAAGGAGGAAAGGCTATCATATCTCTGGCAGCTGTCAGACAGGAGCTGACAGTGAATAATGAGGTCAGAGCCAGGTCACAAAACCTAAATCCAGCAGCCTGAGTCCATTCTGTGAAGGGACAAAGAGCGTCCATGTCTCAGGAATAGGAGGTCTGCAAGTCACCACTACATTATAGAACCGCGCAGTTACTCGTGTCAGTGAAAAAGAAAAAAGTCATTAAGAAATGGATAACTTATGCTCACCCTTGGTGATCTGGAAAAACAGGAAATGGATCTAAATTTAGGAACGATATAGACAAAATGAAAATTATATTCAACAGTTGTCTAATTTTATACAAGATTGCCAATTTTGTTTCCCACCTTATTTTCATGGCAATAGACATTAACCAAGCAAAGACATACTGGTAATTTTACTCTTTTCTTATTGAAAACTTTCTGTATTAAAAAAATAAAGAATAACTATGTTGACTTTTTACTTAAAGCATTTTTAAGGGCCTAGTGAGCACTGAGGAGCTCTGGTAGCATAGTGCCTAAGGCACTTGACTGCTAACCAAAAGGCTGGTGGTTCAAATCCACCAGCCACTCCTTGGAAGGAAGGTTGGGCAATCTACTTCAGTAGTTATACTTCCTCAACAACCCAAGGAGGGGTCGCTATGAGTCACGTCCGACTCGACGGCACACAACAACAACAACAACAACAGTGAGCACTGCTAGGGAATTAGGCATAACCAAATATTGCTTATAGGAATAATTCAAGTAGCTGTAAAAAGAACACATAAATAATTTTATTTTGGGGAAATATGAATGTTTGGAAAAACAGGGGTGTTGGGTTCCCCATGATGTACGAAGATTTGACAGTGAGGCTAGATTCATTTTACTGAGTCGCAGCTATTGGGTTAGTTGACTAAACACACCTAGCTCCAAATGTTGGCCTCAGGTAATTTGATTTTATCTGAAGAATTAGTTTGGGTAATATTACTGAGCAAATTAACTGGAGAATTGCCAAATTCCTATGATATCGAAATAAATTTCTTAGGAGAGCAGTAATATTTTGGCATTAAGTAACTAATCTTTAAAACTGAATTTCCAAAAGAGGTGTTTAAAACCTATTGAACTTGTGCATCACAACCCAGCTATTATAATGAAATACCACTTTTCTTGCTGCCACCTACCTCTACCCTGAAAAGACTCATTGAAATGAGAAGATAGTATAAAATGCTGGGAAAAGTGTATATATGTGTGTGTTTGTGTATAAAGTTATATATAATATATATATTACATATATATATTATATATATTTGTTGTTGGCAAGTGCTGTCAAGTTGATTCTGACAGAATAGAACTGCACCATAGGTTTTTCTTGTCTGTAATCTTTATGGGAATATATCACCAGGTCTTTCTCCCACAAAGCTGCTGGGTGAGTTTGAACCCAATCTTTTGGTTAGCAGCCAAGTGCTTAACCATTGCACCACCAGCTTTCAGTTTGTTGTACTGTAGTGGCTTGCTTCTTGCTGTTATGCTGTAGCTATGCTACTGGTATTTTGAATACAAGCAGGGTCACCCATAGTGGACAAGTTTCAGTGGAACTTCCAGGCTAAGACAAACTAGGAAGAAAGGCCTGGTCATCTACTTCTGAAAATTAGCCTGTGAAAATCCTATAGATCACAACAGAATATTGTCCAATGAAATGCTGGTCAATGAGTCCCCTAGGAAAATGCACTTGGAATACAGTGTGGCCACAGCAATGGACTCAAGCACACCAATGATCATGAAGATGATGCAGGACCAGCAACGTTTTATTCTGTTTGTATATGGGGTCTCTACGAGTTGGAGCCAACTTGACAGCAATGACAACAAATGTTCTGTATGTCTCTATTCATCTATCTAGTGGGGTTTTTCAAATTTTATTTTGAACCGATATTTATTTCTCCTATTTCAGCAGAAATGTTGACTCTCTTGTCACTGTGGCTTTCATTTTTGTTTGCTTGTAGACTCCTGGGCAGCCTTGTAACTGTCCTCACAAAGCAGCATATGCAATGGCTCTGGGACATCAGTGGCAGAAAGACTTTCTGGATAGGCAAGTATCTGTGCTGCACATTGGAGGCAGGCAAGGACACCAAGAGATCGGCCACCTGCCTTCCATGGACCAATGTGATTATTTACCAATGGCCTAGCTATGTTTGATGGTTAGACACTCTGTCTTTTAAAATCCCTCCTAAACCTTTTGACATCATACTTTCATTTTTAAACATCTGTCCCAAAGAAATAATTAGAAATGTGGTTAGATTTATAGGTAAAAGAGTTCACCACAATTTCTAAAATAAAAAATTTGAAATAGCTATAAATTGGGGATGATTAAATAAATTATAGGATAGCCATATGAAGGAATATTTAATACTTAATGCTTTTGCAAGGCTTTAAATATTAAAGACATGACAAAATGTCTTTGGTTTATTCATTCACCAAATATATGTTAGATGTATATTATGCTATATATAAAATATGCAATTTATTGTAGTTGTGGCAAGGTGCTAAGTAAAACAAGGTCCGCAGCCATATAAAGCGTGGAATAACTTAGAATGAAAAACTGAATTTATGTGCATGTGGTATTATATATATAAATGTGGGCATGTGTGTGTATGTTTATCCTAAAGTTTTAGAAATGGTTTACCTCCAGCTAGGAATTAAAGGTAATCTTGATTTTATTTCTTGATTTTTGAATATTTAGTAAATGTTTTAAAGCCATTTTAGAAATAGAAGTCTCATGGCATGTCAAAGTCAGTATTCCCACCACCTCCTCTTAAAAGTAATGCATTTGAGGGACCTATAAGAAACAATGTTGGCTTCTCAAAATTTCTGTAACATTCAGTGAGTCTCTAAATTCTGAAGTTATCTGAGAATATTAAGTTAAGCCTGGAAGATAAGATTTCTCTATGTCCATAATGTCTGATTTCAAGACTCTTCACAAAGTAGTTAACATAGCACTCTCTGATCGATAATTCAAGGAAACATTCCAAAAAGAGATAGTGTATTGCTAACCAAACGGATTTCATTTGATTCCATGCAAAAGCGTGGACTGAGAATCAGTGGGGGAAGGTTATATGCTATATAAGTAAGACTGCTTCCACCCTCAGATTGGGTTTGGGAGACATCAGACCACACTGCTCCAGGGGATTCCTTCCTCATTTCATTCTTCTGATTTCAACTAGGAAAGAGAGTGAATGGGAGGAACACTTCTTTTAGAAAACATTATAAACCAAACTCACTGCCGTCAAGTCGGATCCGACTCATAGCAATGCTCCTGGGTCTCCAAGGCAGTATCACTACGGAAGATTGCCCAATCTTCTTTCCAAGGAGTGGCGGCTTTTAAATTAAAGTGTAACTTGCAAAAATTGCCTGTGAGAGTAGGGGGCAAGTAGAGAAAAGCTGCTTTGTACTGGAATTTTAGCAGATCGAAAACTCTTAAGTTCCAGACTAAAAATAATATATAAAAAGCTGCTTTCAAATATGAAAACCAAGACATCTAAATAATGAGGAAGAATAGACAAGAGTGGATCTGTCTGTCTGTGGAAGGAGTTCTGTGTATAAGATAATATGAATAATAATAATATTTGCTATTAATTAAGCATGTAAGTATGCCAAATTTCACATGCATTATTTTATTTAATCCTCAAAACAGCCCTTGATGTACTGTCTTTGTCTGCACTTTTTACATAAATTTTAGAAAACTTAATTTAAGTTTCTGTCCAAAGATGCTCATATAGCAAGTGGTTAAGCTGAGATTTGAACTCAGGTCAGCCTGACTCCAAAGCCTTGTGCCCTTAACTGTGTCTTATCGGATTCCCAGCTCTTATTACTTGTTTTGGAGTCTCTGAGTGGTTCAAACAGTTAACACTCTTGGCTGCTAACCAAAAGGCTGAAGGTTTGAGTTCACCCAGAGGCATCTTAGAAGAAAGCCTGGCAATCTACTTAAAAAAAAAAAAAAAAAACAGCTATTGAAAACCCTATGAATGACAGTTCATACACAGGGTCAGCATCAGTTGGAATCTACTTGACGCCAACTGGTTATTACTTGTTTTAGAACCTGGGTCCATATGTGCCTATGCTTTGTGAGTTTAGAACAACAGACTGATATGATGTCTAAGCATAAATGTAATCGATTTTTTTATTTGTTTGTTTTGGGGTTTCACATTAGGTTTGAATGACCAAGCGCATCCTGGTCACTGGGAGTGGATCGGGGGTGAGCCTGTCACCTTTACCAACTGGAAAAAAATGCCCCCTCAACATTCAAAGCCTGGGAAGAACTGTGTTTTGGTTCAAAGACAAGGGAAATGGCAAGCAAAGGACTGTAGGCGGGGCAAACCTCACAGTTATGTATGCTCCAGGAAACTCTAAATATAACTGCCCTGCTAGTGCCCACCTGGAATTTCTCACCTATTTATTTATAGGATTTGTGAATATTGCTCAAGAGAAAACCAATTGTCATTTTACATCTTTAAAATCATAGCTTATGAGTGATTCTATCTAGTTAAAAAGTTAAAAAAAAAAAAAAGGAACATGAATTAATTGTTCCAGAAAGATTGAGAAATGAATATTCCTTGCTAGATGAGATAAAATTTTGCATCTCAATGCTTCTTAAAGTAAAAAACCTGCAGTATTATAAGGTGTAAGTTTTGCTTACTCTAGGAGACATCTCCAACCCCTAAATCTCAGCCAGCACCAATATTATGGTCATTGGAGTTTTTTGTTCCATTACTTCAAATGAGTCCTTTCTAAAATCTATATTTCAGGAGCTCCTACCACTTCAGTCTGAGTGAAGTTAACCCTATTAGTTCATTGACCAAAGTTAAATTACAAAGGGTTAGTTTGTCCCTTTGGAGCCCTTTTAAATATGAAATGTGAGATTACAGGTTGTGGATAGAAAGAAAGAATTCTCTCTTTAAAAGGTGTGGTGGAAAAGGAAGACTTTCAATGGCAGAAGCATTCAGTGGGCTCCCTGTACCTCCAAAATCTATGCATCACTATTCATTAAACAGATCGCCTTTTCCAATAAGAATGTAGGCAGCGACAGTGTACCATCCCAAAGCTAATAACTGGGTTTCCCTGGCCTTGCAGAATCGTGAGACATCTGAAGTACCGTGAGTCCCTTCACCCGCATGTATAGTACTGACTATAGGAATGATGGTTGACTTATGGAAGAAAAGTATTGCTTCCTCAGAAGGGTGCCAGTGAACTATGCAGATGAATAAAGAAAAGTAATACTGAAAACAGAGCCTTTGAAAGCCTATACTCTCAGAAAAAGATTTTGATGCAATTCTGAGCCCTTAAATCTTTAATCTTTGCAGACATCCATGCTAACTTGATTCTCTAATGTAAGGGTACTTTATTAATTTATAATCAGCTGTGTGAAGCGTTTGGTAGCAGTGAGGCATGTTGATGCCTTACCAGAACTCTCTTCTGAAACTAATGTTCTAATTATAGGAAATTAGAACTTTAGTTTTGAAATATTCACTCCAAATTTTTCTCTGTTCCTAGTCAGCAAAAAGTATGGCTGTACCAAATGTAACATAAGCATCAGTGCAGCTTCAGAATCAAAATGGGTTATCAAACAGACTAAAGTTTCGATGCAGGTTTTATTATAACAATACCTTGCATGAAACTAATAATGTTTGAAGAAATTTAATCCAGCTTTGGATAGTAAAAAAAACATGACAACTTCCTTTATCTGCTCATTTATCAAGATTTTGATTACCAGAAAAACGTACAGAGAGGGGTTAGGATAAGATGTTCTACCTCTTACTTAAATCTAAACATTGTAATGGAGTCAGGTGGCTCCTACCTTAGATGGGCACTTGTATAACATACAGGTCTCCTGTGTCACACAGGAGTCTCATGTTTCAGCAAAAGATATCAAATCTATCTTCCTGGACCAGCTCCAGTCAGATTCTACTTGATCCATTAACTTTTGCAGTGTGGAAAGGTGGGATACAGGTTAGAAACGAGATGAGTTATTGACCTGAAGGGTTAAGTCCTAGGAGGGAAAGCAGAAGTTCAAGGAATGAGGAATTCAAGGACTCCTCCTCCCTACTGGAAATCTAGAACTATCTAAATTATTTAAAACAATAGCTATAAAAAGCTGTCAAAGCCCAGTCAGCATGGTAGTTTTATCATCTATTTCTGCAATAGAAATATTTCAATATGATTACAAATGTTGACAGAAAGACAGAATGTTTTGATTTTAATAACAACCAGAAGGTAACCACTATTACTATAGTATAAAAATTGTAATTACTGGAACAACTATAATATATATGAGAATATTTAAAAATATTCCTGATCATAAAAAGCAGAAGTTAGTTATAAATTCTAAGTAATTCAAAGAAGATACAAATAAAAAAGAAGGCAAATTTGGATACTGCCCTATGGCTTTCCTCTCTTCCTTATTATTGGGCTCTGGGTAGGGGAGTTGTGTAGGGAGCAGGAAGTAAATGGTTGGCATATATCTTTCTATCTTGATTTGCCACTGTTACCCTGCTGTTTTTGAAGTGAGTGAAAGAAAAGACATGGAATAATGGATAGAATAGGAACAGGAGATTATAGGAGAAAAAAGGAAAGAGAAAAGGGTTGAGTGGGAGAGGATTGGGGCTGATAATAGCAGAGAAGGAGAGCATCAGAAAGAAGGACCTGAATTTCACTTGACTCCTCTTTCCAAACGTGAATACCGATTCTGGAAAAGTCCTCCTTTATCCATGGGCATCAACCAGCTTAATAGTGTATAACTTTTCAGAAACTTCTGATTTTTGGTCTTTATAAAATATACCGCATATATTTCTAAAAACAAGCTTAAAACATGATATGATAATCATTTCACCTCCTTGTACACAGTGGTGAAAATGAACCAAGTGACATTTATTTAGAGTTCTGTTTCTGTTTATTTTTAATACATCCAAGAAGAATATGTACACTTATGTAAATGAACACTATGGTTCTGTGGAACTTAAACTAAACTGGTGCTGATTAATTTTCTTCACTAACGTAGCATTATTAAATGTACTGTATCTAGTGTTGTATCAAAATTAATAAAATATACTTATTTCTAGTTTTGATCCATTCTTCCTTAAGCTTTTAACATTTTATATATTTCCCAAGGACACATGGATTTTATATTTTAATAATTTTACCCATTTTACAAAGCGGTGGGGGAGAGAACTCAACAGGTCTCTTTTGTTTTCCATACAGTTTAAACCAGCTTTTAATTGTATGGCTTCCATCCACCCATGCATGCATCCATCCATCCGTCCACCATTCATTCAACAAGTGCTGAGTATCAAATGTCTACCCTGCCCCTGAAATAGCTCTAGATGCTGGAGAAGTTGTACTGAATAAGACAGGAAAATAGAACTATAAAAGCATAGCTCAGATATGCACATTTCTAATTTTTTTAAGCCTCAAGCTTTTTTACCAGGGAGGAAGTTGCAGTGGAAATCATTGATTATGTTCTTCAGATTTGGAGGGAAATAAGTAGATACAAACATCTTAGACTGCCTTTTGTTATATTTCTCGCCTGATTACAAAACAGGTGATAACTTCCTAAGTTTACAATCATGTCAAAATGCTATTGATGCAGCTTACCTCAAATTTCTTGTCTCCGAAATCTTGTTATAACTAAAGCTTTTAAATCTAGTTAATTGATTTTGTAACAATCCCCTTCCCTAAAACACACCAACCAACAAAAAAGGCAGTATGTGTCTTTGTATCTTGGAAATTTATTTTTGCAGTAAGAAAAATAAGAGAAAGCAACTTTTGATATCATCTCCTATGATACCATTTTTACAACAGAGAATACTGAGGTCATCAGGAGTTAAAATATGTAGGAAGCAGCAATAGAACTGAAGTCTTCTAAATTGTAAACTGAATCTCCTCTAATTATTCCACATATCTAGGACCATTCTGAGTAAATAGTTTTACTATATGAAAGTACACTATCTCTGAATTAGGAGTATGATAAAATTCACCATATACTAGAAAACATTATGCTAAGTAAAATAAGCCTGACATAAAAAGTCACATATTGGATGATTCCACTTACATGAAATGTCCAGAATAGGCAAATCTATAGAGACAGAAAGAAGATTAGTGATTGCCAGGGGATGGGAGGCGGAAGAAATTTGGACTAACTCTTAATAGGTATAGGGTTTCTCTTTTGGGAGGATGGAAATGTTCTGAAATTAGCTGATGGTTGCTGAGCACAGTGAATATACTAAAAACCACTGAAGTGTATACTTTAAAATGGTGAGTTTTATGTTATGTGAAGTGTCTCTCAATAAAAAATGCTATAAAAATTCACCACATAAAATTTATTTTAGTATGGTGTAAATGGGTTGATGTATTTGCTGTATGTTTATCCTTCTTATCCAAGATACATTTTCTAGCCTTTGCCTCATGCCTCACTCAGGCTTTAGTTTATTTGTTTCTACAGTTGATTAAGGGGAAGGGAATGCTGATTAGACATATTTTAAAAATTTATAGTACAGCTCTATTGACATTCCACCCCCTTATTCCCATCAATCATTGGAGAAATGCTACTGAGGGCTGAGTGTTTCCGGATGTCTGTAATGTCTGGAACACCATGGCTTTCTTAAAATTAACTTTACAAGCCTTTAGAACAGGATCGTGCAGGAAATGAATATACTATCCTCATAACTTACACATATAGCTGTTCATTTTGAACATTTTTTATAGGTCTTATATTCTGGTAAGCAATAAAGTTTAGTTCCTCTAAAGACAGAAAGGAACAAAAATCAACCAACACTTCCATTAAAGGCCTCAAGGTAACCCATAACACTTTTTCCAAGCAATGACATATAAGTTCATATTTTCCTTCTTTCCCCATCTGTATTTTTACTTTCTATAGGCAATCAATCCCGAAGTATTTTTTAGAAGAAAAATGTCTTCACACCCAACACTATGCTGCATACAAAAAACACACTTTAAACACTAACCCAAACCAAAGCCATTGCTGTAGAGCTGATTACGACTCATAGCAACCCTATAGGACAGAGTAGGACTGCCCCATAGGATTTCCAAGGCTGTAAATCTTTAAAGACCACACTGTCACAACTTTCTCCCACAGAGTGGCGGGTGGGTTCAAATCGCCGATCTTTTGGTTAGCACCTGAGCTCTTTAACCACTGTGCCACCAGGGCTCCTCACACTTAACTACAGCTACACAAATACACTAAAGGTAAAAGAACAGAAAAAGATATACTATGCTAAAACTAGTCAAAAGAAAGCTGAAATGGCCATATTACTATCAGAAGAAGTAGATTTTAAAGAATTTTACCAAGGACAAAGAAGATCGTTTCATAATGATTACTGGTCTAATAGAGACTAATG